ACTCACCACCAAAACAACAATAACTGTCCACCTCCCTCCACCAATACACCACCACCATAACAACAACCAGCCACTTCCCTCCGCCACTACAACAACCGTCCACCTCCCTCCACCACCTCACCATCACCTAACCACCACAACAACTATTCACTTCCCTCCACCAACTCACCATCACCACCACAACAACTATCCACTTCCCCTCACCAACTCACCACCACAACAGCCATCTACCTCCCTCCACCAACACACCACCACAACAACAACCATCCACCTTCCTCCACCAACACACCACCACCACAACAACCATCCACCTCCCCTCCACCAACACACCACCACCGCAACAACCATCCACCTCCCTCCACCAGCACACCACACAACAACACTCACACTGAACCGCTCCATTACTGAATTTTTAACCCTACTCAGATTTAGCCAGTTTTAATACTATCTACGCAAACCTTAGCCACAACTGGCACTAAAACGTACTTATGGAGAAGCATTACCCATTAGTTGTCTCTTAAGGGAGAGAGCCAGTGCTATAAGCTATCTCCTGGAGCCGCACTAACCTCTCGTAAACGCAGACAGACACACACAAAAACTTAATTAGGGGTTGCCCACACTCTCGCCTGCAACACACTCGTAAAATCAAGTAGGAGTAACAAAATTTACACTGGGAATATATTACTGACGCAGTGTGATGAGATCGTGAAAAACGTCACTATGCAAGCGCATGGCTATGTGAGCACATCGTTATGTGAGTACATGGCTATGTGAGCACATCGTTATGTGAGCACATGGCTGTGAGCACATCGTTATGTGAGCACATGGCTATGTGAGCACATCGTTATGTGAGTACATGGCTATGTGAGCACATCGTTATGTGAGCACATGGCTGTGAGCACATCGTTATGTGAGCACATGGCTATGTGAGCACATCGTTATGTGAGCACATGGCTATGTGAGTACATCGTTATGTGAGCACATGGCTTTGTGAACACATCGTTATGTGAGTACATGGCTGTGAGCACATCGTTATGTGAGCACATGGCTGTGAGCACATCGTTATGTGAGCACATGGCTTTGTGAACACATCGTTATGTGAGTACATGGCTGTGAAAAACATCGTTATGTGAGCACATGGCTGTGAGCACATCGTTATGTGAGCACATGGCTTTGTGAACACATCGTTATGTGAGTACATGGCTGTGAACACATCGTTATGTGAGCACATGGCTGTGAACACATCGTTATGTGAGCACATGGCTATGTGAACACATCGTTATGTGAGCACATGGCTATGTGAGCACATCGTTATGTGAGCACATGGCTATGTGAACACATCGTTATGTGAGTACATCTCATGCTTTCATCTTTATATCTGTTTTTCCTATCATCCTCTTTCTTTGCATCTTCTTTAATGACGAGTCAGTAAGTTATAATTACATATGTCTATGTTGAACCACCCAGTATAGTTTAGTATGGGCCGCCAGCAGTAATAAGCCTAGTTGATCAAACAGTTCAACCTCTGGCCGGGCTGCGAGAATAGAACAACTCTAGAAAGCGGGGAGAGGTAGATCACAGGTTGGTTAACAGTGATGGGTCGACACACTGTTGGGTGTTATGGTGCTCGAAATATCGAAGAGAAGACTAATATTTTCTCGTGAAATAAGCTTCCGTGGTTTAAGCTCAGGAAAAAAAATAGGTCGAAAAATTAAGTAGGAATCTGAGAGCAACAGTCTACGTGAAAGCTTATGTAATAACAAAGCTCTCGACATAGTTTAGTGAATAAAACAAGAGAGTTTTAAATAATTTCAGACTTACTCTCTCACGCGGCTCTCTCTCTCTCTCTCTCTCTCTCTCTCTCTCTCTCTCTCTCTCTCTCTCTCTCTCTCTCTCTCTCTCTCTCTCTCTCTCTCTCTCTCTCTCTCTCTCTCACCTAACTGGCAGCACGGAGTTCTTACATTAATATAAAACAATCATGTGTAATTTTAATTTACGAAAAAGTTGCTGTAACGTTGGGTTCAGCTTATTCTTAACTATGCACCGTCAGCTACCTTATATTGTCTCCCTGTGCTGCATACTTTTTTCCCCTTGTATCTCATACATTCACTTTGTACCTAATATTTTCTCCCTGTACCTCATAATTTCACTGTCTACTTCATAATTCCCGCCAGTAATTTATTTAGAATCAGATGTTGATGACTAAGCTCCTTGTGTTGCTGAAGCAGCGATCAAGTAGCACTGCTAAGACTAATATCTGACTAATTTTTTCCTGATTATTTTCTGAAGTATATTAGTGGTTCTTGTTTATTCCGCGTGCCTGAAGCGCAGTCTTGCGAGGTACAGTTCTGCGCCAACAGACGAATTTTAACAGACGGTTTTTTTTCTAGAATTGCCTGTCAGATGTGGAAGTCTATTACTTTCACTCCCGTCCCCCTCTTCCTGTGATATTCCTCTACCACACAGTATCGTATTCAGGTACGAAAATTGTCCTTTGTGTTAAACTGTTAATGTCGCAGATGTTCACCGAACTGTAATCACATACGTTTGTTTGTTGATGTTGAGCTCTAATTCTGAGTATTTTATAGGTGTGGTAATGTCTGGTTTTCAGGTCTTTCACTGATTTACAATC